CCCCATTGGGGGGGGCAAGGGGCGGGGCTGGCAATGGGGGGGAACCAGACCCACAAGTAGGGTCTCCAGCGGGGGGGGGGGGGGGGGCCCTCTCCTCGATCACCCCACAGGTTGCCCCGCAGATAGGCCCTGATCTCCGGCCAGGCCTAGAGACCCTACCTGTGAATGAATTTCATGCACCAGGCCTCTAGTTGGACATAATCTGCCCCAGGAGAAGCACCCAAAAAAAGTCAACCATTTTCGACTCCCGCAGAGAAGAATAAGTTTCCTTTTCCCTCCTACCACTGCCTCACCACTTCGGACTTCTTCTGCCCAGCTTTCGATTTCATTAGCTGTGGATTGTACTTTAGTTGTCTGTGTGGGGTGGCTGAGCTGGATGCAGCTGAGAATATTATCCTCAAAATAAAAAAGATCTGTTGTTTTTTATGATAAAAACAACACATATGGTTTATAACAATACAATGTAGTAGATAGTATAGAAGAAAACATGCAATAAACAAATCATCTGAGCACCTCCTACTGAGGTTTGAGCATTATCCATGTACACACAGAGCATGAGTATGGTAGACAGTTGTGTGCATACACACACATATATTATGTATCCTGTACATATGTGTAGTATTCTATGTTTGTAGATACCCATATTTTCTCCTAAGTGCGATCACATTGGCAGGCTGTTTTGGAATAGTGGGCTATTTTAACATCTCTGGTTGTCAGATTCTCCCGGGAGCTGCCTCAAGATTTCAAGTTTTTCAATTTCTTGCATTACCTCACTGTTCCTTCAACCCTTCCTTGCCCCAGCGCTCCTTAGCTGCAGACGCTAACACCTACAGCTAGACAATTTGGAGAGGAGTAGAACAAAGTGAAAACACAGGTCAAAGAGTACTGTCTCCAGTCATTTTTATGAGTGAAAATGCTGGTCAAATCAACTGTGTCTCTCATAAAACTGACTGCTGAAGTCCCCGGTGATTTCAGTGGCGTGACCAGATTTTCTATGCCAGACAGCGCGGCCTTCAGACTAGAGGGCCGGTGACAATCCGCTGATGTATGCCACTACTTCGTATCTTGGAAGGAACTCTATGTTGCTCCCTCCAGAATTTTTGATTCAAGTCACTTGATTAAACAATAATATTTCCATCTGGTTAAAAAGCATAGGTCAAATGTAAGAGCTTGTCGTATTCATCTGCGAGTGCTTCTGGTATCAGAGTAGTTAGCGTCTCTGATTCAAACAATTATTCTGAAAATGTGTCTGGATTTGACCAACATTTTGAATGTTAACCATTCGTTTGACTGAATTGGAGTGATTGCCTGCATATCCAGCAGCAAGAAAAGTCTCCCGTGTGATTGTCAGAATTCCCTGTGTGGGCACTGACTGTCAGCTCCACAGCTTGAAATGACTATTGTCCCTCACACTGTGGGGACATGTTCTGGTTGTTCCCTCTCTCTGACTCCCCAGAAAGGAGAGAGTTTATGCCCCCACTTGAGTGCCACCTGTGCCAGGTGTCTGGCTGGGTAGACAACAACTGAATCGCTTTGTGTTCCATGTTCTGGGTGTCATGTGTTCAATTATTCAGTCAAGTACAAGAACATCATTTGTGTTTTGTTTTTAATGAATTTGATGATGGTTTTAAAAAATATATTGTTTATTGATTTCAGAGTGGAAGGGAGAGGGGGAGAGAGAGAGACATCCATGATGAGAGAGAACCATGGATCGGCTGCCTCCTGCACACCCCCTACTGGGGATGGAGCCTGGAGCCTGCAACCTGGGCATGTGCCCTGACCTGGAATTGAGCCACTGACTTCCTGGTTCATGGGTCAGGGCTCAACCACTGAGCCACACCGGCGGGCGAAAGGTTCTGTTTTCATTGCACCCAGGCCTCGGGCTGGTCCAGAGAGCCCAGTTCCTTGTAATGTGCAGCCAGGGTTGAGGACAGAAGCAGAGCCCCGGGTGGCCTCCGTTGCTCTTCGTGAACCACGATGAGAAGAGGAGGCTACGCTGGGTCGATTCACCACGGTCTTCTCACCCGCACTTCACTCTCATTTGTCTCCAGGTGGCCCCTCGGAAGGCAAGCTGATCCCGGGAGATCAGATCGTAATGATTAATGATGAGTCAGTCAGCGCTGCGCCGAGGGAGCGGGTCATCGATCTGGTCAGGTGGGTGACAGGCTCCTGTGCGGGGTCCCGCTGAGAAGGCGGCTGCACAGCTGAGGCCTCACCGGGCAGAGGATGGGCTGCCCGGGCCACTTAGGGCGGAAACACCCCCTTCCCCTCCCCCCCTCCACACATTCGCCTGGAAAATGCCGGTGACGCTGAACTCTAACATGAAAAGACACGTGCTCCGTAAACACAGAACACCCCGTCGCTCACCCCGTGTTGCGTTAACATTCAGAATGCATGCACTTCAGCTCAAACTGGTTTTGACTCCCATCTCTCTTACCCTATCCATGTGTTTTTCCTTCCAAAATTGCTAACACATTGACAGTCCATAACCAAGGAGATCAACATGCCCTGCCTGGATTCCGTTTAAGGGATGAGTAATTTACATACGGAATCCCACGGAAACGGAAACGGATAGTTCCCTGATGTTTCAAACGTGACTGAGTAATTCATTACTGAATTTTAAAGTCATTGGCCAAAGGCAAAGTGCTAATGGGGCCAAAGCTAGGACAATTTAAAATGTGCTTGATTGATTGGTTTCATTTGATCACAGGTGTAAATAACTTGTTACATGATATTCTTAACGGGCACCAGGCCATATATTGCGTGTGATGTTCAAGTGTTGGCCTAGCACAGCGGTTCTCAACCTGTGGGTCGCGACCCCTTTGGCGGTCGAACGACCTTTTCACAGGGGTCGCCTAAGACCATCCTGCACATCAGATATTTCCATGACGATTCATAACAGTAGCAACATGACAGTTATGAAGTAGCAATGAAAATAATGTTATGGTTGGGTGACAACATGAGGAACTGTATTTAAAGGGCCAGAAGGTTGAGAACCACTGGCCTAGCATCTCCTTGGGGACCTACGGGAGTCGCACTGGTCAGTGCATTTGGGGCAAAAGGGGTCTTTTGACTTTTTGCCAGCGAAGCTGTGCCTGTTCTATTAGGGATGCAATCAATCATCAGGACCCTTTAACCCGAGAAGGGCACCTCCTACCACTTCTGCGCTCTTATCACCAAAAGCCCATCTGTGCTTGGGGCCAGGCATTGAGAGGAGCATCCGGGGTTTGCGGACGTGGTCCCCCTCCCCAGCCTATTTGGCCTCCGCTTCACAGAGCAGCGCTGGCTGGTGCCGCATCCTGGGAAGAACCAGGGGCAGGATAAGAAGATAGAGCAATAGGCCCTAACCGGTTTGGCTCAGTGGATAGAGCGTTGGCCTGAGGACTCAAGGGTCCCAGGTTCGATTCCGGTCAAGGACAGGTACCTTGGTTGTGGGCATGTCCCCAGTAGGCGGTGTGCAGGAGGCAGCTGATCGATGTTTCTCTCTTGTCGGATGTTTCTAACTCTCTATCCCTCTCCCTTCCTCTCTGTAAAAAATCAATAATATATATTTTAAGAAAAAAAAAGATAGAGCAATAGACATAGAGGAAGCTGACTTGTAGGATGACCAACCTTCTCGGTTTCAGCATGGAAAGGCCTGCGACCTGGGAAACCCTCCATCCTAAGATACTGAGTCGCCCTACGTGAGTCCAGGTGTAGCAAGGGAGTCTGCGGGGCTGGCTGGAAAGCCATGCCTGTCCTCCCCGGGCATCCGATCGCCAAGGGTGTTGGCACAGGCGGGAGGGCACAGGGTGCCCCCGATTTGGGAGCGAAGTCTAGCTCCAGCCTTCCTGTGGCCCCGGAATACAGGCATCGGGAGTGGCTCTGACTTTTCCTGCCTGGGCGGGAGCCGCGCTGTTAGTATGTGCAACCCCTTCCCTCCTGAGACGCGCGTGGCTGTGAGCAGGGACATAGCTCATCCAGGCAGGCTCTGCGCCGGGCCGGGGGGCTGGCTGGCATCCTGGAGCGCCATGCCTGGGCCTGATGGCAGGTCACACCGCCATCGTGTTCCCCCTGGGCACACGCCTCTGTGATCAGCCCTCTTGATGCCTGTGCCTCCGGGAGGATAGAAGGAATGAAATATCTGTGTGTGTGTCTGCTGTGACTGCATCGCCTGCTGCAGGACAGAGACAGAGCAAAAGCGATCTGAAATGTCATCACTTCCCAGCGGGCCTTCCAGGGGGCCTTTAGAAAGATTTCTTAAAATAAAAATTATGTTGTTGTTTTTTATTATAGAGGGAGAGAGGAAGGGACAGGGAGAGAGAGAGAGAAACATCAGTGATGAGAATCAGCAATCAGCTGCCTCCTGCACGCCCTCTACTGGGGATGGAGCCCGCAACCCAGGCATGTGCCCTGACCGGGAATTGAACCGTGACCTTCTGGTTCATGGGTCGATGCTCAACCACTGAGCCACACCAGCAGGGTAGAAAGATTATTTTCCTTCTGGTTTGCTGCATTATGGAAGAAAATGGCATCTTTTTAAAGAGAAGTCTTCAGAGGACCTTATATGTAATGTAGCGCAATGAATATTTGTTAAAATAAGGGAACCAATGAAAAGTGCGGTCGTGAATGACAGCTTGCAGTCCATCCAGCCTGCCACCTGGCTTTGCACAGCCCATGAGCTCAGAATGCTTCTTGCCATTTGGAAGGGCTGGGAAAAATAAAAGAAGACTATTTTGTGACACATGAAAACCCTATGAGTCAAGGGCGTGTACCTAGGTTGCAGGCTCGATCCCCAGTCTGGTCAGGGCGCACGTGGGATGCAACCCATCGATGTGTCTCTCTCACCCATGTTTCTCACTCTCTGTCTCTCCCCCTCCCTTCTACTGTTTCTTAAAAAAAAAAAAGCCCACAATAATTTAATGGAAAAGTATTCTTGGGTAAGCATTAACCAAAAAAAAGGAAGAAAGAAAGAAAGAAGAAAGAGAGAGAGAGAGAGAGAGAGAGAGAGAGAGAGAGAGAGAGAGAGGAGAGAAAGAAAGAAAGAAAGAAAGAAAGAAAGAAAGAAAGAAAGAAAGAAAGAAAGAAAGAATCCTATGAAATTTCAATTCAGAGTCTATGAATAGAGTTTGATTTGCTGCTTTCGCTACCATATCAGAGTTGAGTACTAGAGTACTAGTGACAGACCTGTGGGCACGAAGACTGAAATAGTTACTATCTGGCCCTTTAGAGAAAAAGTTGGCCAAGTTCTGCTTTAGGAGATATTATGGTAACTGATTGCTTTTTTTTTTTAGAAATACATTTTTATTGATTTCAGTGAGGAAGGGAGAGGAAGAGAGATTAAAACATCAGTGATGAGAGAGAATCATTGATCGGTTGCCTCCTGTACACTCCTCCCTCCCGTCCCCGCCCCCCACCCGATACACACTGGGGATCGAGCCCACAACCCGGGCATGTGCCCTGAAATGGAATCGAACCATGACCTCCTGGTTCGTAGGTCGACGCTCAACCACTGAGCCACACTGGCTGGTCTGATTGCATTTTCTTTGATTAAGCCAAATTGGGACTGAATCCCCAAATAATATGCACAGTTGATTTCTCTCAAAATGGGGCTGTGATGAGGGCAAGATTCCCACATACTTGATATAGAGACTGTGGTATTTTAAAATGGATTGAAAGGAAAGCAGGCATGTTTTTGAAACAGCATGAAATACTTCAGGTAAAACTGTCCCTTCTCAAGGCCGTATGTGTACTAAGCTAGAAATTTTCCTCTTATAAAATAATGTATTTTAATGGGTTCCTTGGCCGATAAGTGTTTTAATGTCTGCATCTTACACAAGATAAATATCCCATTTTCTTAGCCCCTAAGGAATTTCAGAAAAAAATACTCATCATTTGAATAACACTGTAAAGTTCTCTCTTCAAGAATTGGCATATCCGGCCCTAGCTCGTTTGTCTCAGTGGATAGAGCGTCAGCCTGCGGACTGAAGGGTCCCGGGTTTCATTCTGGTCAAGGGCACATGCCTGGCTTGCGGGCTTGATCCCCAGTAGGGGGCATGCACAAGGCAGCCGATCCATGATTCTCTCTCATCATTGATGTTTCTATCTCTCTTTTCCTCTCCCTTCCTCTCTGAAATCAATAAAAATATATCTTTAAAAATGGAATTATGGGGCATGGGCGCTAAAACTCAGGACTACCTGCGTGAGGCAATCAGTGGCTGACTGGCAAGTTCAATAATTGCCAAGTAAACCACATAGAAGGGACCCGTTTAAAAATGAGATCTCAGCATGTGTATCTATCAGTCACTCCTCATCAGAATTATAATAGAAAGTCAAGTCAGATCATGTTCCCGCGCTATTGTGTCTGCAAAAGAGTATATTAGGAAGGTCACCTCTCTGTCTAATTTTGGCTGCGCTGAGACGCATGGCGGTGCTGCTTAGTACAATAACAAAGAACATCTGAGCATCCGGCACATGAAATATGCATGATAATGTATGATATAGTAAGGCCTTATTATAGGAAGACGGGCGAGTAATTTGAGTGAAAATACAAAAGAACAGCCCCTTGGTATGCTGACACAACAGACTGTTGTCTCACCAAATGTTCACTTGTAGTGTACACGCTTTCTGACAATCGCAGATTAAAGAGCCTGGGGAGGGAGGGGGCGATGGTTCTGGAAACTAGAATGTGTTGGAAAAACATTCTAATGAGGATGAAGGAGAAAAGGGGATTTGATCCATTGTTCATAAAGGTTCTACTGGCATAGAACGATGAAAAGGAATAAGAAAAATGGCTTGACTTAGATTATTTCAGTGTCCCCTGGATTTTGTTAATGACCATCTCTCACTCTTCCATTCAATCTCTCCATTACTGAACATGCCTTTATGCAACTCGTGTGTGGAACTTGAATGTTGAAGATTGAAGAACCAGAAAAGGTTTTAAACTAGGGCAAGATTTCAATGATCTCATATGGCTGTCATTACTAAATGTCTTAACGTCTTGTATTAAGGAAAAAATTGGGCCCTGGCCAGGTAGCTCAGTTGGTTAGAGCATCGTCCCGATATACCAAGGTTGCAGGTTCGATCCCCGGTCAGGGTACATACAAGAATCAACCAACGAATACATAAACAAGTAGAATAACAAATTGATCTCTCTTTCTCTTTCTTTTTCTTTC